CTACATTTGTATTACCGCTTGAGGCGGGATTTACTCTGTGTTATGTATTGAAATAAAGTAGACGTGTTGAAGTTTACTCCCAGAGTCATTCTACTTTTTAATAGTCATCGAAGCTATTACAGTAACCCTCGTTAGTTTGTGGGACATGCGTGCATTCCTGGTCCAGCCTATTGAATAACACGTTCTGATTAGTCGGTTCAGTCTGATTGACACTCCAGATAGGTCCATTGTCTTGCCCTCCTAAGTGTTCTTAGAAGCCATTAACATTTTCACAGCCTAAGAAAACAAGAATAACAAATGGTAACATTACACAATCAACTATGATCAGTTGATTTCAATTTTTTTTTTGTAATGGCCCTGTCGCACCTTGATGATTTAGTCAGCATGGTATACGCTGAACTATCAATGTTTTTTTTTCAATTTTTTTTTTACATAATGTATTATTATCTTATATAATATGTTTTGATAACTTATAGAAAATGCTTAGCATGTTGCCTGCGTTCACAACATATGCCCAATGATAGTCTACCGTCTACACAGCTCGCGGCAGCATATCGCCGACGATCACATCCCATAGACTATAGAAAGGCTGCCGCTCGTCAATTCAAATCATAACTGCACTAGACATCACAGTATCAACATCACTGTCACAGTATCAACATCACCTCAGTTTTATTATACTAATTCCCATAAACACGAGCAATCAAAAAAAAAAAAATTCCCATATAGGTTCAAAGCATGTTACTCATAGGTTACAAATAAGTTTTGGGTACGCTAGACATTATCTCAATGTATTTCAACTTTTGAAAAGCTTACATGTAACATGTGTCAACGAACGCATAACTTACCTGCAACTCATGGTCTGCGTATGCGGAACGTATGAGCCATACGTTGGCATATGCCATAAAGTTTTGCGCATGCACAAGATTTTTCTACGTACTTGCCATAAGACGTATACCAGCGTGCTCTTAACTTAATATACAAAACTTTCCCATAACTTATTCGATGTACACCAGCATATACGCCAAATTTGTCATACGCCAGCACACACTGGCTAAGTCGTCAAGGTGTGACAGGGCCATAATACAAAAACAGTACAACACAAAATATGTGCAGCAAATTTGAATAATATATGTTACAGAATCTCATTAAACCTGACCTTCATCCATCTCCCAATGCAATCTTTCCCCTAAAACTAGTATTTTATTTTTAGAAGTTTTCTCATAACTAAAACCCATAGTTGTTTCAATGGAGAATACCCATTAAATCTGTAGCAGCTAACTTACCTTTTGTAGCGCTACAATCCATGCCATTGACTGCTTCTTGGAAGGGTCATCTGCCACAGTCAGGGTCACCTCTTTACTTCTGTCCAAATACTTGAATTTTATCACTACTGCTTTAGGCACAGTAAAACCTATAACAAATGTCAATCATATGTCAATCACATATCAATACATCAATGAACAATTGGTAAATACTATTCATAAATTTGTCCTTTCATTTCCCTGTATGTCTGTTCGTTCACCTGTATGTCCATCCCTCCATTTGTCTACCCATCTATTTGTCCATCCGTCAAAGACAAAGCTGTTATATATGTTAGATTTTAAGTAACATAAATTCAAGGATAATATTAAATAAACAAGGGTATATTAATAAACAAGAATAATTAGAAAATTCACAATATTACGGTACATTCAAAGTTGCAATCTCATGTAGTCAGATTGCTTGTGACGATGATGATGGTGTCCGGGGGCCTAAGCTCTTAGCCTCCTTGGTTCCCGGCACTTGTTGTACAGTAGTTAAGAAACAATTGAAATAAAGTGACATGATGACAACGACAACAAAATCAATGACGATGACAATTATAAAATATGAAGACAATGATAAATGATGGTAATAATGATAATACAGGATAATGTTATGACTAAGATTGATGATTATTATGATTACTACATATAGTACTACTATTTTATTTTAATTAATATTATATTTGAACAACAGGAATAAGATGACATGCACATTATGAGCAGAGAATCAGTTCACAATAAATACACACACAATAATGGCATGTAAAAAGGAACTTACCAAATTATCAGTATGGTAACAATTAGAAAACATACAACATGAAACCATTAATCAGAATTGTTTTTTGTCTAATTAATGTTTAAATAATATTTATCTTATAGCTTTTATTTGCAGGACATAAAAAAGGTATTACATGCAGGGGCGGATCCAGAGATGTCCACAGGCGAGACCGAAAGGGGGAGTCAATAAAAAAAAATACATTACTCTCGAGGGTCCGGAATTTTTGTTTTCTACACACCTTTGTAGCGTTTTGGGCAATCGATAATTTCTTTTTCTTTCTTTTTATTTACATTCCAAAGGTGGGGGAGGGGAGCCCTGACATGTGTGTACTGCTAAAATTACACTAAAGCTCTTTCCACACTATCAAATTCTATGTGACAATATATGGATGATGTCATATTACACCCAAATATGGGCATATCACTTATTTGTCACATAAAATTGGATAATGTAGTATGGACATGGCTTTATGAGTATGGAGATCATACATGCATAGACCACTACATCGTGCTAGTACAAGTCGGCAGCAGTACTGTAGCCTAATTACACATTACCCTGATTCTTCCTAGGACAGGCCTGGGCATGGCTTCATATTTCGTAGGCACTACAGTATATAGAACCAGCCACCTGACCTTTCAAACTCACGAAAAAACAACCTTTTTTGCTTGAACTTAAATGCCATGTTCATTTCTAAATTCATGATGCAATTAAGCCTTGTTTTGAGAATCATTAGCCAATTTAAGGAACGTATTACTAGGGATAGAATCGATTCCACTTAATAATCTTAATCATGTCCACTCTCTGCCTTCTATAAACTAATTTAGGCAGACCAAGTAATCTTATTAACCTCTACTTATATGCAAGTTTTTCGGTAACCATAGTGGCGACCCCAAAGAGGTCCCCAGCATTGGTAGCAGTGGCAGCTAAGGGGCCTGACTAAAGCCTTGGTCGGGGTCCTGGAATAAAAAATCCCTGTTAGGGTTCAGTGGGAGAGGTTTTATGGTTTAGTATGATCCAAATTGTGCTTTTAGACCATAATATTTGGGATTGGCAATCAAAATAATGTTATTTTGATACTGATAGCGAGATTTATTTTTTTAAATTTTTGATCCGACGATCTTGTAGTAGCTTTGGATGACAGGGGGTCCAGGCCTGTCCGACAAATGCCTCCTGTTCCCCCACAGGAACCACCATAATGGCGGCACCAACAGAGAGTCCCCTTTTCTGGATTTGTCTATAGAGATGATAGGAAGGTGTCTACAAGCCTGCAAGCGGGAAGTAGACAAAAAACATTGCAGCCATTCAGTTTAATCTTGCTTTTATTAACAGTTATGTACTGTAAATAACCTTTAGCAATGTATATTTTATTTCATAATACATCCACTGAAAATTGATGCACAAGCCTAGACAAATGACATTCCATTAAAACATACCACAAGGTAATGGTACCTCTACTCAAGACGCTACACATAAGTTTACAAGAATATTTACACTGTTCTGCGGTATATTACTGTATGAATGACTTCTTATCTCTTTCTACAGTATTAATGAATTAGTGAGTAGAGTGCACCATTGAATGGTGAACACAGGGTTTAATAGACCGATTCCAAAACATACAAAGTACAGAGAACACTAGAATAAAGTAAATAAACACCATTTTGAACAAATGTAGTGCCTTTCCTTGCCTGTTATTTCTCACATTAATAGTGTGCGGTTGTTTTCGCAACCAAAAACTTAATCATTTCCTATATTTTCACACTGATCGCACTGTAAGTTCTTCATAGTTATAGCCAATGTCACATGACCACCTGTAAACAAACCTCGCGGAATCGGTCTATCAACATAAAAAAATAAAGACAAAGGTTGTATCCACAAATAAGTTATCATTAATAATTTATTGACGACAGTTAAGAATATACTAATCAACAATAATTAATTATATCTGACCTTGGCCACTATCACCAGTTGTATCAATATGAAGATTCTGTATGTTGACAACATCTATGGGGTCGTAAACCCAATATGTTGATTTAGACATCTCCCTGTCAGGTTTTTCCTCGGTAAACATTAAAGTTCTACAAAAAAAATTCAAAAACTAGACTTACTATGTCTGTTTGTAAAACAGAATTGGTTTCACCTCTTTAACATAATAAAAACTGATTTTGAAATTATATACCATTAAAAAAATGTATAAAGTATAAAAAATACATGAAAAATAAAAAATAATGAAAAATTATGAAATAAAAGAAGATAACATGAAAACCAATTTGATGTCGGTGAGACTCAAAATAGAGCTCCAATGAATATAGGGGGGATGTTGGTGTGGAAAAAGCCAATTAATAATTACAGTACAACCATCATGAGTATAATCATATGATGGGTTTCTATGGTTCAGCAAAACCCCTTTTTCAGCGAATCCATCTGTAAACCAAAGAACAACCCTTTTTCTTTTCATTCAAAAAAACCATAAAAACGATGATGAAATTCAGTATTTACATACAGTACTAGAATGCTTCACCTCGTGAGATGGAATCTACACACAGCCAGCGATTGATACCAAGCATTGCCTTTAAAACTTTTCAGTGGCAGATCCAAGAATTCAAAATAGAGGGGCCCCGGGGAGGTAATTTCACAGATGGAGGATCTATACCACGTCAGTCCACCACAGTGGGGGCTGAGGTAAGAAAATTTGTGAATGGTCCCCCTAGATGGCTGGAAATTTGGTGAGGCAGAGAAAAAGGATGCGCGAAGGGACGAGAAACTATTTTTTTTTTTAATTTGGCCTTAAATGCTTTTACAAATGCATACACATATAAATGCATACTGTGTGCTTTAGCTGAGTAAATGAGACTTCTTATGGATATAAGGCCTTGACTTCAGTGGGAGGATTAAATTAGAAAATCTCAAGATTGGATAAGCATGTTTGGAAGTGAGAATAGTTTGACCTAGAAGAACCCAAATCTTGATAGAGTGATGAGTCACACCGAAAAATAATTTTAACGGTACACCAACCCCTATTCAGGGGGAACCCTAAGGGATTTTTTTTTTTTAACTTACTCTTGTTCTTACCTGTGATTAGTTGTCAGCTTTACATACGTCACAACATTGTTTACTTCGGCATCAAGGCCCGACAGAACGAAGAAACTACCTGAAATCAGTGCTTTGAGATGCTTGTCATAAAATTCATTTTCTTTCTTGGTCACGATCGAACAGTCGGAACACATACGGACGGGGTCAACAAAGTTCATCCTTGGAAGACACACTTTACTAGCACAGCACACGTTGCAAAAACAAAGGCCACATCTACGACAATGATGCTGAAAATAATGCATTTATTCATTTAGAATGAGTGACAATAAAATTTTCTCACCAGTCACACTTTCCACACTTGTTTCTTCATCAGTATAAAGGTATTGTCATGGTTGTTTAGATGATGTGTCACTTAGCAAATAATTTTTTAGGGACGCATCCAATTACAGCTCTGCATACACTATCAAATTTTGAGATAAATCAAGGTTAAAGGTTATTTATTTATATTGCGCAAAATATGAGAGTGTCTATGCGCAGAACATGTGAGCAGATGTAATTGGAAAATAAAAAAGAAAATCCAAGCCAGCACCGAAACTGCAGTATGGGGATACGCCCTCGTCGCTGGGCAGGGATCTATCAAAATGTACCCTGTCCACCACCAGTTGAGTCTCGGCCATCCAAGGACTCAGCTGCCTCCTATCCTGATAGAACTTCAGAAAAGCTAGCTGGCAAGGAATGGAAAATGGGAAATCAAAGAGGACGAAATAAGTGAGTTTTTAAACGAGATTTAAACAAAGAGACGGATGGCGACTCACGAATACATAATGGTGGAGTATTCCATAATTTAGGAGTGAGCAACCATGAATGAACACTCCCCACATGACTTTAACCTGCAGGGTGGACAGTAAAGAGTAGTCAAATCAGATGTTGGGTACGAATGCATGTTGGGTGCGAGTGCATGTTGAGGAGCAAGACTTAATAAGTTGAGAAATGTATTTAGGAGATAAATGATGAATGCATTTGTAAACAAACAATAAAATTTTGAAATAATATGCTTCTTCACAGGTAACCAATGAAGAAGACGGAGTACTGGTGTGATATGTTGATGTTTAGGTGTTCCAGTAACCAACCGAGCAGCGATGTTAAGTAGTAGCTAAAGCTTATTAACTGAGGTTTGAGGCAGTCCGTGAGTCCCAATTACAATAATCTAATCTGGATGTTACTAAGGCGTGCACAAGTTTAGAAGCAGCATCTTTGTTCAGAAAACGTTTAACCTGCAATGGCGGATCCCGGGGGGGGGGGATGGTTCAAGGGGTTTGGACAAACGAAGCTTATGAAGTGGAGTTGTTTCGTCGTGAGGAAAAATCCTGGAATCTGACAGGATTTGAACCCATGACCCTGGGATTGGAAGGCAAGCATCTTAACCATGAGGCAATTCTGAAACTCCACTCAGGTTATACAGTATTTAGGAATATTAAGACTAAATGTACCTTTATTTTAAAGATAAATACGCTTATCTTATCATGAATCCTCAGTAGCATACCCAGGTGGTGTGCAGCCCCTCCCCCAAAAGCTTGCACCCCAGTCACCCCTCCCCTATCACCAGTCAGTAAAAATGGGTACCATGAAACAGAGGAAGTTTCACGTTGCGTACGATTGATTCTATATCCAAAGACCAGGAAAAAATGCACCTTAACCATTTCATCGTAATTGAGTGCACTTATAAGATAATAAAAGAAATGCTAGAAAAAAGTCTTAGTCTATATTAAAAGAATTACAATAATCATTTGTTAATGTTTTTATTTTTTTTAAAATGGTGTTTCATTATTTCAAACAAAGACACACTTATCATTATTTTATTATCTATGCATTAGAATTTTTTATAGGTTTAATCATAAAAAATAATACACAATTTAGATAGAATTTTGTAGCTTTTATTAAAACAAAGCGTAATTTCTTCAATAGAAAATTTGTTTGCATCTTGAGATGACAGTTAGATTTATTTGTAACATTTAAGTTTATAATAAGTTTATAATGCTTGATTATGTTTTGTTGTGTGGATTCTGTTTGGAGATTCAATCCTAGGATGGCATGTTTCCACTTTTTATGTTTGTAATCTTTATGTTCATCCAAAGATAACATTTTAATTTAAATTGAGCCACACTCTCAGCTGTTTAGAATTTCTGCAAGGTTGGTTTATAATCATATTCAATGCATGCGAGCCATTAGAAGTGGGAGCATCCTATGGTTAAATTTGTATTCTTTCAACCATTGTGTCCAGCTCAGGCTAAAACAAGCGTGAGGACACGCAAGGGCGCAGATTGGTTTTGAAAGGTGGGGGGGGGGGGAGAATTCTGTGAAACCACACCCACCATGGCTGAGATGTAAAAATTTGAGTAAACAGTACTTTCCTAGATGACTGGAATGGAAATGACACTCTTAGTAAACACCCTTATAATCACAATGAAGCGCCAACAAATTTCTCATGATCTTTTATCAGTGATAAACTGTAGAGATCTACAGTAGTTAATAATATGTGTGATATATACCATAGATGTCTTTACATAAAGCTGTGAGTCCTCACCCTGTGGGGGCTCACTCTTAAATATTTCTATACGGGGAGGTGCCGCATTTACGGGGTATATTTTCGAGGACTTGGTAGCACAAGTGTGGGAAATGGGGGGGGGGGGGGAGAGTTGCAGCATTTATGGGGTATACTTGCGAGGACTTTGTAGCACGAGTGTGGGACATAACCGGGGTGAAATTGGTAGTTAAAGTCCCTGGTCTATCCTGTGTCAAAGTGCCACGATTTTCCGCATGATGTTAGCAGGAATTTCAAGCTAGACTGGGTGCTAAGCCTACCTTTGGTACAGCCACGAGATCCCGGCCATGCAAAACACTATTGCCATTGGGAACCATTAAATATTGCGCCCTCTTTGGTACTATTCAGTGGCCTTTTTTCTGTTGTTGTCTTTTAGAGCACAGCGCGATTTTGGTAAATGGTAGTTCATAAGAATTTTCAGTAAAATAGGTAGCGCAAGTGTCAAAATGAAGTGGCAACAAATTTCTCATGATCTTTTATTAGGGATTTTCGGCAAATCATAGAGATAATTAATCCCTGTGATGCACAATAGAAAATAAAACTTAATAGTCTTTGATGTACTTTACTTTACTTTACCTACTTCATGTGCCGAAAACCAATCTTATCTTTACGCGCTTTTTTTCTCATACTTCTTAAATTATAATAATTAAATGCTTCAAATTTATATAATCAGGACGAAATATACATCTTATCCTTGGATATTTTCAAGGCAGCAGAGGGCGTAATAAAAATAAAGAAAATCTTTTTTTTTTTCCTGAAATTTCCACCTTTTCAAGGTGGCGAATGTGCTAATTGGCCAAAAAATAAAATTTTATTTTTATTTGAAATCATCAATATCAATAATGTTCGCTAAACAAGGAATAAAAAAAAGTCTCGCCTAAACCTTTCACTATCTTACTCTCTGTCTATCAGTCACTGAGTTGCATCCATTGGGACTAAAAAAAGCTTTTAAGACAATGTTCAACAATAAGTTCTTACCCTTCGCTTCATTAGGTCAAACTTTGAGTGGCATTTTATACATTGTTGACACTGAAAGAAACAAATCAAATATAATACTTTAATGTACAGTATGTGAAGGACCCTAATTGCATATCTTTAATTTGGGGCATAATTTTCAAAGTATGTTTATTTCATTTTTATTAAACATATTTAGGCAGGATTACATATACAGTATAAAAGATGGTACTGCTGTTTATAATAATACAGTTCTGCGAAAATAAAATACAATAAAAAACAAACAAGAAGGCTACCGAACACAATACAATAGAATAGTAAAGACAAGAACACAGCCAAACAACGAACATCAGTAACTTAAAGAAGACTAACAATAAAAAAAATATTTAAAACGTATTCAT